ATTCCGCCCGCGGAGGTAAGTTAACTCCAAAAAGAAAAGAAGCCATCAGGAAATGGGAAAACGCCACCTACAAAGCTGGGGCTACGATAGACAACATAAAGAAATTAGAAACCCTCTTAGAAAGGCGTATACACGTGAAAGACATCACAGACGGGTACATTTACCCTGGGACACATAAATACGGCGGCAGAGGTGCTCCTATAGTCATCTACCAGCATAACGGACACGCTTGGCGAGAACTTCGATTCCCGCGAAAGAAAGAAACCAAGGTCTACGAAACCTCCCCATTGGTGAACTTGATTCATGAGAACTCAATATGGTTAATGGATTCGGAAGGAAGCCAGTTTATGACCCAAGACGGCACTTTGTATCGCCCGGAAATCGAACACCAGCGCATCCAAAGCGCCTGTGAAACCCTTGGGGAAGACTTCTCAGACGAGGTCCTCAGCTCTCGTAGTTTGGACTTCTTAGCCGCAAAAAGAAGGAATGGGTGGAAACCGACCCCCAAAGAATTCAAAGACATAGCCAAAGCCTGCGTAGAACATGGCCACGGCGGTCTTTGGAACATGGAGTACGATGAGGAAGAATACGTGTCCTTAGACATGAAGCACTGCTATCCTGCATCATTTAAAGGCCTGGGAGATTGTAAGGAATATTACGACCGCTACAGCCATCCAGATTCACAGTTCTTTCGTGTGTCCTTAGACGGCAGCTACGACGCGCCAGCTACAGGGTTCGTCAGATTAACGTCTTGGAAGTTGGCTAAAGACTTGCACCCCATAATTTACGCATGGTACCGGAAGCATCTACAAGAGAAAGAATGGATACCAGTGCCATTGTTAAAGTTCTTTGAAGAGCGTAAGCTCCTGAAATACACAGCGCATGAAGCCATACTTTGCCATAGCGCCTACACGAAGTGGCTTCCAGAGCACAACCCAACCGCCCGAATTGTCATAGGCAAATTTACCCAGGGCGCTAAGGAGGGAGAGAAGCACATGCAACGGCGTTTAATAACAGACGAAGGAGAGTTAAGCTTCCTCATAAAACGTGCCCACGATCAAGGAACGATGGTGTCTGTAGAGAAATGGGATTACCTCGTAGAAGATCAGCTGCACGAATGGAATGCGCTGTGTTATTACAAGCACCATCGACCGCAATATTATCACCTCCGTGCCAGTATGCTCGCATATGCGCACATTAACCTTCTCGCAATGCTCTTGCGGTTTGACAAAGAAGACATTCCACGCGTAGCCACGGATTCCCTATATGTGAAACCGCACGTATTGGAAAAGATGAAGGAATTCTACACTGCCGATGAACTCGCAGAAAGTGGACAATGGCGCGTTAAAGATGAGGAGATAAGAGCCTGGAGGGCACGTGTAGAATATCATGGAGAACACACCCGCGGTTCCATTACGCCGACGGAAGAGCCACTGCCCTCAGTTGCGGACCCTATTTCCTACCAACGCTTCTCTTACCTTTACAGTACGGGAGGCAGCGGTAAGACGACGCGTGTGTTAGAACTCTTTCCTAAGCTAAAGGTGCTAACGCCAACACATCGTTTGGAAAGAGAACTCTGCGAAATGGGCTACGACGCACAAACCTACCACAGCTTCTTTCGCTGGAATGGCCAAAAGTGGGTGCCGGAAGCCATCCACGACATACCTCCCGTGATACTTTGGGATGAAATCTGTACCGTGCCCTTAGAAATCCTGCAGGAGTTCGTAGACTTCCTCCGCGGAAAGTGCCAAGTCGTATTTGCCGGGGATCCATGTCAACCACCTCCTATAGACGGAGAAATGCCCCATGAATGGTTAAAAGAAATGGTAGACTATCATGAAGAAATTAACACAGACTACCGTAGCAAGGATCAAGTGAGGAAATTAAAGGCAGAATTAAGGGGCCTTATCGACGCCGAACAATCTAAGGTGTTACGTAAGAGGGTACGA